ATAACTATACAGACCTTTAGGGCTGACTTTAATATAACGACTTCGCCGGGCGTTTGTATCCAAGGCTCGCCGTCCACCTGAACCGGCATATCTGTGTTCAATCGGATTCTGATCTGTAATTCATACAAATCATAGGTTTGAGTATTATAGCAATAAACGCATACAAATGAAATATGATCAACATGTTTGAGATACGTACATGGCCACCCTGTGCTATTCGAATGGCAGTCCTAATACCACTTTGTATTTGGCCCATATGGACAACACCATTAACACCCACTACTTCTAACATACCATCGTAATGGTTAGGCCGCGAGAATTGATCGTCTTTTTCAACACCCCATGGGTTGGCACCGGAACCCCAACTAATCCATCAAAACACTCGTTTAATATATATATTTTTAAAAAGATTTGTTTAAATAGTACAATACCTTAATATATTGAGAATGATTATGCCCTCAACTGGAGGCAGATTAACCACTTTTCCGTCCACTTCCAGTCGTATTTCTTTATGTAAGTCTTTCCATACCTTCCGACTCACCATCTTTTTGAGAGCAGTCTTCACATACACTCCTTTGTTATGCAATCTATCATAAAAAAAATATGAGATAGCTTTAGGTTAAAATATTTAATTACTTAAATGTTTTTTTGTTATAAATATTTATATTATTGCTTATTGTTAGTTTAACATTTTGACTATTTATATTTTGTCAAAAAAGTGTTGCATATATGTTGCAATAATAAGTTTGGCTGTCTATTAAAATATACGCTAATTTATATGACAATATATGTTGTTTATTTACCTGCTGTTAAACTTATCGGGATTTTCTTCCCGCGCGTTATGGAAACTAAGGCAGAGATCGGCGTCTATTCCGAGTCCAAAATAGTTGTTCATAACAAAGATGGCGGTATTGTCTTCGGATGTGGAACCGGAACTGTTGGCCGGAAGACCCGGTTTCTCCTCAGTCTGTTTGGTCGCTTCATCGGAATGAAACACTACTGTCCAGCGGTCTAATCGTATCTCTTCGGCATCGATCACATCCTTGAGCACAGAGATGGGGTCCTCTTGACCCGTATATCCCGGACCCCATCGAAGCACACGCGCCAAATCATTACCCGTTCCCAACGGCACGATAGCACACGGAGGCGACTGACACTCAGAATCTTGACCCACATTATCCAGACATTGCAGGACCTAAACATTAAATATACACCAAATTTTGACAATTATTATTATATTTGTTTTATTACTTCTACTGTAGATTTTCTGATTTAAATTATAGCTAAAATTTTAATGAATAAAATGATTGCTAACCCAACCAACTGTTCCGTCTCCGCCACAAACCAATATCTTATAGTCTTTAATATGTCGACAAACATATAGACTAAAAATAAAAACAATATTTAATTAAAAATATGGATAATAATAAATTGCTGAGTTGTTGAGGACATACCCGGGCAGAGGACCGCCATTTTCGAGATCATAGACCTGATAAGGATTCAATAGTTTACGGAATGATGAGATAAGTTCGGAGCCCTGACAGCCACCACTTTTTACATTTACAAATACTAATAATGGCTGTAATTAAACCAAAATTTTTCACAATTAGAGAGAAAGAAAGAAAGAAAGAAAAGAAGAGAGAGAGAGAGAGAGAGAGAGAGAGGTTGAATACCCTAACGCCGGGTGGAATCATATCAGCCATAATATTAGGCAATAGGAGAACGAGCAGATTCTTGTCGTCATAACTCGATTCTCTCAGCATATAATAGGCTTTAACGGCAATGTCTGCGATATCGTAGGTCACTATAAGTGATCCGTATTCATAATATATTGGACCGATTTGTCGATATTTATATGCTTTATATTAAAACCAAATAAAAATATTATTTTAAACAATGAAAACATACGATTGCATTGCATTGCATTCAAATCAAATAAAACTTACGTTTTCCTAATAATTCAATTAAAATTCTTTCATATTGTCGTTGAGAGAGATTTGGTGGTAAATTGCCGACAAAAATGGCGACACTGGAACAGTAGACCTCATCCACCTGTTGAAGATAAAACCTCGTGTTCTCCTTCTGGCGAATTGAATCCTATTCATCACATTTTGTGATATAAGACATAAGATATTATTGCATCGGAATATAGACCAGAATTAAGCAAATGACAAAACAAACCCGAGCTGTGCTTTTAATGATAGCCCAGGGACTCTCCGTATTATCCATAGTCCTCTCGTGAACACCTGTTTTACGGGTTTAAAAATTATTGAATAAAATTAAGTTTTAACAATTAAGTGAATCAAATGGTCATTTGCTTACATCCTTTGTCGAGTGAAACTTCTACTAAACGATATCGATTTAAATCACCGGAATCTAAGCCAAACTGATCCAATGCTGATATCATCACATCCTCAACACTGGTATCGAGAGTCACGGGAATGACTCGGTATGTGTCGGTCACGCTATGCCAACAAAACATAATGTTTAGTCAATTGCATTAGTGAATGGCATGTAAACAATTAATATTAAATACTTACTTTAATTTTCCCGGATATACTCTAATAGACCCTTCGTCTGGATTTGGAGGTCTATACCTATATTTATAAATCAATAAACAAAATATTATTTATGTACAGTATATGTAAGATCAAAATTTATTTATTTCATATATTAGACACTTTTACGCTATAAAATCAATACAATGTGATTGTAATTAGGAATACATATAAAATTATGAAGTAATACAGAATATAAAAATATATGTTTTATGGATTCTTGTAAAGAATTTATATTAAGAAATTTTTCATAAAACGAATTAAAAGTTTACAAAACTTTCTAATTTTATATTATATAACAAGTGTATACAGTAGTCAACAAACAATAATTTTAAAAACTAAAATTGAAGACTAAAAAATTGGAGCAATATATTATGGTATATTGAAAAATCTATACTAAATCTATGCCATAAATCCTACGTTAAATTTGAAATATAATTTCTGAATTGATTTATTATTATACAACTTAAGACTACATTTGAATCTATATTAATGAGAGTATTTAGTGTCCATACCTGAAGAAAAGTCCGCATCGTTTGCCTTCGATCCTAATGAGACTCTGGACGGGCATAAATTCACACAGCTCCTTCTCATTCATATCTAGTATAGACATTCATTTATTATTCATTTGTGCATTGCATTATTACTATTCTCTCTCTCTCTCTCTCTCTCTCTCTCTTCTTTTCTTTCTTTCTTTCATTCTCTCTAATTGTGACAAATTTTTGTTTAATTACAGCCATATCAGAGACGGAATCAAAGCGTCGAACGAATGGATTCGGCCGTCGGTTCCAGAGATACGGATGAGT